TGTACTGAAGATGTGACCGGAGGACTGGGGCCCATCTAGGCTTGGAAGTGCTCTGAATGCCAAATACCCCATGTTGCCTGAGCAGAAAATAAACAGCAATCCACATTGCTGATGTTACTCCTGTCACTTTGAAACTGTACTGGAGCACAAGCTTTGAACTGGGACAAGCTCTCTGTACTCAAATCCAAAACAACATTTTTTAGCTACACTGCAGTGTAGATACATTGTACATTAACACTGTTGCTTGGCCACACCCTAAATTCTATCTACTTTTACTCATTAATGAATCTGACCTTCAAGAATAATGTTGGTCATTTTATAAATCAATAGTATTTTCAGCAATGCCTATACAGACTAAAGCTGACAACGGGTTAATGTCTGTCAGTCTTGGAGTAGCTTATTCTTCTGTGCCTTTGTGCATTGGTGTTCAAAAACGATCTGTGAAACACACCACTGTACTGGGTGACATATCACTTTATTAGCAAATCCCAGACCCGAGCATGAGGAGCCAGCAGGCTGTAAACAAAGCAGAGAGCTTGTACAAAATCACATGCCTGTGCATTTGAGTCTGACTTGTGGAAATTATGGCCGCCCAGAACCTTTTGGGCAACACAGTGTGTTATTATGAAAAAATGTGTCACCCAGTGAGTATGTTTATAATTGTTTTTGAACAACCACAAAGGTCTAATCCAGGACTGACAGCTGACAGATATTAACTGAGTGTAGAGGCAATTCCTTGTTGGTTTTAGTCTCTGTATGGAGATTGCTGAAAGTACTATTAATATAGAAAATGACCAGCCTTATCCTTTAAACTGGAAGGTCAGCACTTGAATCTTCCCAGTAGTAAAGTGCACTTGTGACTTTATTACAAAGTGAAATGTGTGGTACTAAAATAGAATGAAGTATTCACACTCCAAGTGTACTGTACTTGCTTGAAAACTCACTATGTAATAGAAATGTATGATAAATGTGTATTAATACACATAATTCAGAAGCTAGTAAAGGAGATACATTGCAGCTATTGTATTCTGCCCTTCTCTGTTGCCAGTGCAGTGCTCTCTGTGATTACTTGACTGCACTGAGGACTCAATACAGTACAAACCCAATTGATAAATGTGATAAGATCATGGAGCAGAGCCAGAGACTGTACAATAGGATTAGAGTTGTGTATTGGCCAAATAGTGGTGACTGTGCGCTCTCAGGGATCAGATGTGGGGCAGGTAATGTTTGCTGGTTAAATAGTAAACAGAGGTTAGCAGCAGCTCCTTGCAGCTCTGTTTCAACCTCCCTGTCATTGCCTGTGTGCACCTTCTCCACACCACAAACCAGAGAGGAGGCTGCCTGACATTTCCTTTGTGTTGTGATGCTATATCAGCATATTTTCTCCCTCTTGTCGTTTCCTATCTTTCTCATTTATCCTTGATCCCTCTGTCTTTCTGGCTGCTTCATCTTCTGGCCTCTCACCCATGTGTGACTCGTCTTTTTGTTTCTCTGTCACTCCTCTGAGGAGAGAGACAACTGAGTGTGCAAAAAAAGAAAAACGTACTCTATGCTGTTTCCATGGCAACTGCATCTCATAGCTAAGCCAGTACTCTTCCACAGACATGCGTCCTCCCTCTCTCATTCTCCCTCTGCTTGCCTTACTTAGATTAAAGCTTACCTCTGATGAGAGTGAAGAGAAAGCTGCAGGAGGAACAAGGGGAAAGGCTGCGCTTGTTAGGGAAGAGTAGCTTTTCATAACCCTCCAAGGAAACAATGTGCTTTCTCTCTGATGAATTATGGCAGATATCAAAGACAGACACTGTCAGTGAACTGCATACTATGTACAACAAAAGAATCACATTGCGCTCTGCTCTTTCAGGTGCTTCCTTCTCCCCTGCAGAAGTCTTGGTTGCTGGGTTTGTGGGTAATGGTCTGTTACAGGAAAATAATGCATTTGCAGGGCTCTAGTGCCTCACTCCACAACCTCAGTCTGTGTTAATTTGGCAATTAATATGATTTCATGAGAAGATGTCTCAATAAGAGACCACTTTTACCACAAGCTAACTTTGGATTATGTGTTATTCTCAGTTTTGCATATGTGCGTGACTGTGTGTGCATGTTTCCTTGAAGGGCTTTTTCATTACCAGCTATCATGAATCGTACAAATGTTTTATGACCACTTCAAAGCAACACTAACTATCGATTTGGGTATGGTTAGAAAATGTGCCATGGTTGGCTGTGTGCTCGTTAATGTGTTCAGCAAAGAAGTGAAAAATGTCCACAGTGGGGAAAAGAAGTGGTTAGGCTGGAGCTGCTTTCAGGTAATTTGTTGCTGTGAACACAGCACAAGCTGAGACAGGTAAATTCACACAGCTGACCGTAGATGGATGCATTGTGTCATGTAGTACAGATGGATTATTAAGTGAGGGGGGACGTCAGCTTCTGTCTGACTTGGAAAAGATTGAGGAAGTGTGCACCTGTAACAAACATGGGAGGCGCTTGTTATTTTCAGCTTGACTGATTTGAACTGGGAGGCGAGTGGGATAACAGAAAGACGTGGTGCTGCTGAGTGTTTGCTTTCTCTGCCATCAGAACATGATACCCAGTGGAATTTTTCTCTCCAATCAGGGAGTTTACTTGGCAGTCATATCCACAATTCAGCCAGTGAGGGAAAATTGATTTAGCAACTTACAGCTCAGATCCCAGCTGGGTCAGGTAGCAAGGGGGAAATGGGGCCTTGAGCGTACATAGCATTTTATGATTCACTTTGGTCCCTGAGGAGAGGAATTCATTTCTCTCCAATCACTGTGATTATAAGTAATAGGATAGCTGTGATAGCACAGCATAGGAGGAGGAGGAGGCATTGGAAGGATGGAGTGGGGGGTTCATATGTGCATTAAGTCAAGACTCTCCCTGTTTGGGGAGGAGGAGGAGGCATTGGAAGGATGGGGTGGGGGGTTCATATGTGCAGTAAGTCAAGACTCTCTCTGTTTGAGAGAAGGTTGTCTCTTCTCTGAGCCGATGTCAACCGATTGTGTTCTTGCCTCAGTTGACAGCCATGATCACCTACAACCCCCACGTGCACTATGTTGATATGATTTGCTGCTCATGGGGCAGACAGACCTCCGGGGTCATATAGACAATAGATTCTCCTCAAGGTCCCAGGGTATTGTGTGGGGAATTGTATAATACACTGGTATTATTCCTGTTTGCTGTGTTGTCCCACTAAGGATATGCTCATACATTATATGCCTTGTCTTCCTCTCATAAAAGGTCACTGAAAAACTTTGTCTTTTCCATCTGGTCAGAAATCCAACAACATCTGTCCACACCTACTGTTTTTAAGGGGTTGATGAACATTTCATTTTTTCTTTCTCTTGTATAAGTGGCCAAAAATGGACTATATAATTTCAACAACAAGAAAATTTCTCTGTAAGTGACAGAGCAACCACTGACATTAAGCAGTTATACAGACAGAAATCCATTATGGGGGAGGCAGAGTTATTGGTTTCTTCTTAATAGAGGACAATGCCATTCACACTCCAATTTTTCTTTTCTTTTTATTGCTTTTGCATCATACTCCTAAAAATACCCAGCCCACAATGCCTTATAAAACATCAGAGAAGCAGTTGCGGTGCTGAAACAAGGCTTATCAGGAAAATAAATTATTTTCTACATTGGCTTTTTAAGCGCTACAAACAAAATCTAGCACAAAAAAAAGTCTTTCATTATTTTGACAAAATAGATCTGCAGTGTTTTATTGACATCTTTAGATGATCATGGTGCATTATAAAAAGGATGTCATTATAAAATCTTCCTGTTTCCATGTCAAATGCTAATGATCCTGAACTTAATAGTACACTTTACTTTTAGTGCTTACTTTGGTACATGGTTCCAAGATTTTTTTTTGTCATTGTGAATGTATCACTGTAAGATTTCTCCTCACTAGTCCAGGATTGTTTATGTGAAAAGTCTTAATACTGTAAATTTCAAAATATACGTATATTGAAATATTTTTATAGATTTTGAGTGAGTCTCTGTTTAGACATGTTTTCAGTACACACCTCTCTAAACTGACTAAACTGGCTGCACTCCACCTTTTCTTCAGCTGTTGTTGCTCTTCTATCCACCCACAACCTGCAGCTGAAGGCAACAAGTATCAAATGATTTCCAGGGAAATGCAGAAATGAAATATAAGCAGATGAAGCAGGCAGTGGGGAAGTGGAAAGAAAAACCCAGCAACCCTTGATCGCAAAATAACTCAAATACTGATGATGGATAACAAAGCTATGCAGCTCTAAAACACTTGTGCCTTCATTGTATATATCATTGTGTTAGTACGTTATTTCAGTACCATATTACTTTTATTAAATAAATCACTGTGACTTCAGCCTACATATAATGTTAACTATGGTACCCGATCGAGACAGTTGCCACAGTTGCACCGTGGAGCAATAAACACTGAAGCTTTATAAACTGCTCGTGCCTCATATCTGCTCATGGATGAGTGATAGTACACCAATCTGTTTTTTTTTTAACACCTTTGTGACAATATATGTCTGCACTGATGGTTACCATGAGTACCAACAGTACTGCTCAAGGCCTAATTCAATAATAATAATCCTTTTTTTTGTGATAATAGTCATCTTAGTGCCGGAGCTTGTATTGCTTAAATAGATGATGATTATCTGGCTCAGTGAGGGATTTTATAATTAAAGTAAATGTCCTTGAGACCAAGGTGAATTATGTCTGTAGAAACAGTGCTTTATCATGAAGCTACAGCTTTCAAATTTTGTAATGGATGACAGATTCTAGTGGTAGTGCTGTTATTGTTTTGAGGTGAATGCATGTTCAGAATTTTTTACAGCTTCCAGATGCATCTCCTGCTGTCATCTCAGCTCTTGTAATTCTGAGAGAAATCATTCATCAATGCTTCTGACGTTGGATTTTTGATGAAAAGGCTCTACTCCTTGGACACATTTTTAAACAACATTTGCTGTGTTCTTGTCTCTTCTCAGGTTGGTGGTGCTTTGCTAAAGTGACAGAGGCAAAGAGCACGAGATAAGAGTCCTCCTAGACAGCAGGGGGCAGCAGAAACCATGCAGGACTCAGCCTCAGATGGCAGGATGGCCAAACAGGTCAGAATTATAGATGTCTTATGAGAGCTGCTGTCACTCAGCTGTTCAGACAGGTCTTCCCAGTGGAAACTTGAATTACTGCAATGAAACCCCCCCCCTGTGGCCCACAAACTTAGACTATGATGATAAATTAGACAACTGTGGTTCAGTGGGTACAGTGGTTGTCTCCCAACTGGAAGGTTGGAGGGTCGAATCTCGGTGCCTGCAGTCCACATGTCGAAGTGTCCTTGGGTAAGACACTGAACCCTCAAGTTGCCCCCGATGGTTAGAACCACTGGGGTGACTTGACGCCACAGATGGCTGCCTCAGTTCTGTACCGGAAACAAATTCCTTTTGTGTAACATACTTAAATAAAGGTGATTATCCTTAAATTTGTAAAACTGATGACAAGACACCTCCAACTGCAAACCAGGTCAATTATTACTACTTGTACTATAACTTTTAAATGCACAAGGTTTCATATTATAATGCTAGACAGTGGAAATACACGTGTAAAAAAAGGCAGCTCTCGTTCACCACAGCTGCTGTTTGTAGCTCCTTCTAATCCAGAATATGTCTGATAAGAAGTTACAAATGACACTGGCATTCTCTGCTCTTGGTCTCTTGGTTGCGGAAGAAGAACAGAGATTGTGGAGGCGAAAAACAAGGAGAAACTGCACTAAATGGGTGAAATCATGGAAGCTACAGCGGCAGGCTGAAGGGGATTTCTGGCACCGTTCACTTCTTGTGCATTGAGTTGCTAAGTTGAACAGCTAATCAGAGTGGTCTCTCTCACTGACTGGGTCCGATGCCAATTCAACATACCAAAAGCTGCCAACAGTGTCCGACTAGTGCCAATGGTGGCACATCAGAATGACAATGCTGACAGATGCTCACCGATGGCACAACGGCAGCCAATGGCTGACTAGGCTTGGCGTATCACAGGTATAGTGCGCATGTGCAGTGGGCTGCATCACTTGGAAGCGCACTAGGAAGCTGGAAGACTTCTGGCTCACACATGGATACACTACCACTCAGCCGTTCAGCCAATACTTCCCAATGGCTGCTTTTGGTACTGCAACAACAAATGTCCAAAAAGCATTTTCTCCATAGACCACAATGGAAAAAAAGATACTGTATCTGAGAAACTGTTGACAGGACAGCTTGAACTGTAAGCAAAGTCAGTTATCACTCTTTCTATTCCATATCTTTAATTCACAGTGTGCTAATCTTCGTAAAACATTTGCAGAGCCCAGAAAACAATGTTTTATTTTCATGACATCATCCGAATGTAAAGTCTATGGGCTGAGTGTGAGCGTGTGGGCAGGTCCAGCAGAGGAAACACCAATACACAGTGCAGTGAGCTGCACAATATGAAAGCAAATCTGGGAGAAAAAAGTTTTTTGGTGTACAGTATGGCAAGTAGGCAAGTGACTTTCAACGGGAAGAATGGATGCCATTTTGTAATCTTCAGTAACAGTTTCATGGACTCGTGTCAGTTTTCATTCAAGTAACTGGGCGCCATCTTTCAGTCCTTAATACATCAAATGAGAGATCAGCCCTAAGTGCACTAATGGATGACTGTTAAAGCCACAGACTTCCAGTGGTTGTGAATAGTAACACATTAGCTTTTAGTCAGCATCATAAGTAAGTTATGAGCTGAACTGGGTTTCTAAAGTTGCACTCTTGGATTGGGTTGAACCAGCTAGTTGTAAATCCAAGTTTTGCATGTCAAAACCTCTAGGGTTCTTGGTAACTACAAGCTTGGTTCAAACTAGTGATTTACTAAACTAGGTTGTACCATTAAACTTTATGAAATGTCTTCAAAAGAATCTCCCACCTACTGTACTGTATATATAAACAGGATGCCAGTGTAGTGTCACAATTTCCAACACAAGTGGAAAGAAATAGCAGATTAGGGAGAAAAATAATAACTGCAATATATTAATATATGTATGACTATTAAATATATGTAGACATGGAGAAATGTGTTTCAGAGTTAATAATGATGACACAAACCGAACCAGTGTTGTTTAGCAATTTTGTCTGAAATTGTGAACATAACATCTGAAAGTGCAGTAATATATGTTATATTATTTTGTAATTTAAAATTTTCTCAGTTTCCATCATTACTAAACAGCATTTTATCAAGTGTTCAGTCAGACTTGTTGACTTTATTCCATATTATCTATTTTACTCTAAACCTGCTATACCAGTTAACATTATTTTTGGTTTAGTTAGCTAGGAACAATTCTGCATGGCAGTTGCGGCATTTAATAATAATCAGAAACAGCTAATATTTGTGTGTGTTTAGTGTTAGCAGACTTGTACACACAGTTTGAAATCCAATATTTATTAAAACTACAATGCTAACACTGCACCTTTGACTTTCAATCAAGCAATTACAATCAAAGAACTTAATCTTAAGGCATTGTACTGATACTGGCACTTCATAGTATTCATGGGTTCAAATATTCATTCACATATCAGGGACAACATAAAATCAATATCTGTGTAATTGTGACTGCCTTTGTGTTTTTGTATTTGTACAGGAACAGAACTCCAAGCATCTGGATGAGCACAGAGAAACAGACGAAATGTCTGAAAAGACATCCCCAAACAAAAATCTGAAATCTCCCCAGAAAGGCTCCAAACGACTTAAAACCACCCCCTTCAAAGTGACTCTGCTGGACTCTTCTGAGTTCGAGGGAGAAATTGAGGTATGGTATAAACAATTTGCAGTAACACGTTTTCTTGAATTATCCTTAGCAGTATAGTGCTGCACAGAGTAAATAATGGAGGCAAAAAGAGTAAAAGATGGGAAGCTCAGCAGGGATTGAAGCCAAAGACATGGTTTCTGCAACATTTCTGCAATACACTCAATGGCTTCAAAAATAGTGCAGATTAAAGACTTCACTTGATGCAAGATATCTGCTGTCATTACTCCAGCGGTGTGGTGTAGGGTATTTGGAAATGAAATTGAAGGCATGCACGAGAAACAAGACGGATGTCAGAAGAAGCCTGAGGTTTTGGAGCTTGTTTGCCCAGCAGCGGTGTGCAGTACACCTCTGGTGGACTAGGTCTGTCTTGGCAGGACTGCAGTGAAACAAATTCATGGAGATGACTGTGCAACAATATTTTCTAATCAGTGGAATGTTTGTTTTTGTCACTTGTTTAAAGGAGTTGTTGGATTTTAAAAATGTTGTCTATAAGCAACAGAACAGTGTGCATGTTGATAAGAGCATGGTCCAGAAAACTTCCAGGCCCTGATGGCATCAGAGGTCGCTTACTCAAAAACTGTGCTTAACAGTTTGACTGTTTTTTGTTTCATTTTTAGATTGTCACTCAAACTTGACAGGTTTCCTGATCTTTGGAAAACTCCCACTATTATACTAGTGCCAAAAAAAAAAAAAAAAGAGAGACCAAAACAACTGAATGATTTGAGACCCGTGGCCCTCACTTCTCTTATTATGAAATCATTTTAGAAGACTGTGAAGGACACTTTTTGTGTATAGTGCAGGCAAATTTAGTGTAAATCCACTTCAGTTCAGTCACGATGATGTTATTAGCACCTTTTTAAATTAGATTCTGACATATTTAGAGGGATGTGTAGAACCTCAATGCAATAACTGCACGTAATGTAATAAGTTACAATAATGTAATAAAGGTTGTTAATTGTAATAATCTGCCAACAATGTAATAAAACCAGTGACCACAAAATCTAATGAGTTTTTGCACATACTCTATGTAAGGCTATAACATTTTGCTTAAGTTATTACATTATGAGTCTGATGGCAACTTTTGTTAAAAATGTAATAACACAACTTATCTTTAAAAATGTAATAACAAATGAAGCAGTAACTAAGGTTCAGTATGTAGAGTATTTTTGTGGATCACAGTAAAAACCAGTGCCATTCAAACTGTGCACAAATACATTCTTTGTTTATAGTGAAGCAGACTCACGGTGCTTTTACACTCTTAGCTCCTTCACCCACTCGCACACCGGTGATAACACTGGAGATGATTTAGAGTTCAGTGTCTTGCCCCAGGACACTTCGATATGTACACTGGAGAAGCCGAGGACGACCCTTTGAACCTCCTGAGCAATAGTATAGTGAAAGCTATACAAAAAAAACAATAATGTCAGTAGAGTAATGGCGCTTTTCTTCAGGATGTAGCTCATTAGCTTTTTAAGATACATCAATACTCTGACGTATGAATAAGGAGAGTTTCAGAATTTAACCTTAGTTGCAGTTATTACTTTATGTGTAGTTATTACATTATGAGTCTCTACAGGGTGCAAATACTTTTGTGTGTTGATTTTTTATTGATTTTCCTCAGCCTTTAAATGTATCCAGCCTCACATTTTAGCAGATAGGTTAATTAATAACTACAAAACTGACTGTGGCCTGATTTGTTGCCTGGTTAATTTTTTAACAAATAGGTCACAGTCAATGCGGTTTTATCAGATGCTTTTATTTCTTCTACTGGATCGACCCAGGGGTGTATCATTTTGCCTCTTCTCTGTTCTGTATACTAATATCGGCCAGAGCCATTTTAAAAGATGTCACATTATTAAGTTTACTGATGATTCTGTCATTGTGTCTCTTCTGAAAAGTGCAGACTCATCATGCCCTTGTAGTGGCAGAGTATACAAATTGGTGTAAGTTGTCATTCTTGGGCATTGACATTCCTAAATCTAAAGAAATGATCATTGATTTTAGAAAAAAAATCCTAGCTGCTGTTTTCTGACCTTCGAGCAGCATGTGGATGCATAGACATAGACATACAATCCCTCTCGTCCTAGCCGCTACTGGCTTCATAAATAATATGATGTGACTTTTTTCTTTATGGTATTGTATTGTATGTCATTCAGTGTTGTTGTCTGTTATTATTGGGTGGATGGTGACTGTGTTATTGCTACTGGCTGAACAATGAATTGCCCATAGGGGATAATAAAGGGAAATCAATCAAAAAGCTATGTCTTGTTGAGGCTAAACTTTTGACGTGTCTGTCTGGCATCACTGTCTTTGTACCTGAGATGAGATCTGTCTGGGCTGATAGATGACAATTAGCCTACAGGATGTCACAGTCCAGTACCCTGCATTACACAACATGGGACTAGAAATGTGCTGTGCTGCATATGCTCATGGGCAGGGCTGGGTTTTGAACCTTTAATACATTTTTGAGTACCAGTGGAAATGTATCTATAGCAGGGAGTATCATGTGTTGAAAGTTGCATCCAGACCTACAAACGGAAATGACTAAACAATCCATTGCCTCTCAGGCAGGCCTCCATTCACATGTCCTGAATATTTGGGTGGTTTGGTACTATTTCATACTAATATAATAATAATAACAAAAATCTTCATGTGACATTGAACCCTACTGATTGGTCACAAGAAGTCACTTTTAGGAGCTCTATATTTATTACATGGTTACAAGCCAGATGCAGCCAAGGAGAAAATAGAAGAGCAATGTTATTTCGAGCCTCCCCTTAGGATACTTTTGCATGAAACTTTGTGTGTGTGTGTGTGTTGCTGTGTTGTTGGGAAGACATTTTATATGTGTACTATCAAAAATACTATGCTTGCATCAGCCTCTCTCTCAGCACTGTGTAAACATTTTAAAATACCTGTGGGCCTTTTCTATGCCACAACTATGGTTTGCATTATGGTTACGATAGCTTTTGTGTGTTAAGTGCTCTTTCTGAATATTTGCCCACCCTCACTTCACTGCCAGTGATTGCCAGAGAAGGATGTACATAGCACCCTCTAGTCAGCCCATGTGTTTTATTTTTATAATTCCAGTATGGTGAGAGCCTCAGACCTCTAGGTCATGACTGGGCTTGCTCCTGCTTCCTGTCAGTAATTGCTGGTGTGGAACTACATGCCTGCCATATCCAGACCTCCCTTGCACTTCCAGGAGTTAGTAATAACAGCATTGTGAGAAGGCAGGCCACATTTGGGGAGTGCTATCTCTGGAGGAGGTGCCACATTCATGGGTTAATTAAATCTCTTTTCATGGAGGCATGGCTTTGCTTCCCTGCAGTCTTCAGACTAGAGAGCAGGTTCCATGCCCTTACCCACTTCCCTCAGCTAGCGGTCCCCTCTGCTCAGTGGGGTGTAATCTGCCTGACTACGCATGGTGAGGCCTGGGTGAGCCGATGTGCAGAACAGGGTTATTTTAGGTGGACCTGGGCATTTACTGCTGGTTTAGTCATCTTTTTCACTGCCGAGATTCTGTTCTGGGTTTTCTCATGTTCAATCATGTAGTAACACTGAGATCATTACTGTACAGTATATTATTTAATTGCTCCAGAGCAAAGAGCAAATGGACTAGATATTCTCAGTCATGGATTATTAAGATTACACATGCTGATTTGTTTATTTAATTTGTTTGGCTGTCACTGATGTCATACAGCTCTTGCTCTTCATAGACAATGTTGCCATTGGAGACTTACTGACTGACAAGGTGAGAGCATATAACCCCTCCTGAACTGCAGCTGCACCATTCTTTTAACTATAATGAGACAAAGGTGAAATGTATTTCAAGTCCTAGCCTTGAGATATTAAGAAACAAGACAGCAAAGGAGGAATACTGCATCTGTTTCCTTGGCAACTGCTTGCTTCATCTCCCTGTCCCCTCACATGGTCGGCTACAGGAGAGGAGGTACCATGTGTGAGTGTGTGTGTGTGTGTGTGTGTGTGTGTGTGTGTGAAAGCATATTTCTGTAGATATCAAGACTCTACACAGGCATGACCTGTGTAGTGTATGACAAACCAGGTTTTGGACCTATGACCTTCGAGGCGTGCATGTTAAACACCGTCTTGACCAGTGGGGCTGTCACTTGGTCCAGATTGAAATATCTATTGGATGGAATATGAAATTTGGTTGACATCCTAATGACTTTGGTGCTTCCCTTAATTTTCCTCTACCACCACGAGCAGGTTAGAGTATTTACTTATTCAGTCACATATTTTGATCTGTGAAATGGATTGAGACTAAATCTTGTTCAGATATTCATTGTCCCCAGAGGATGAATTTCAGTGACTTTGGTGGGATTCTGTTTTTATTTAGTGCCAACATCAAAGTTTCATTTTGTCCATTGCCTGACATTCTTATCAGTTTTTACTGTGTCTTTTGTTTAGTACCAATTAGCAAATGCTAGCATGCTAACACTAAGATATAGTAAATATTGCCTGATAAACATCAGCATTGTCATTATGAATATGTTAGTCTGCCAATTTAGCTCATTTAAACAGTTTATTAACAATGTACATGATGAAAATACCTTTGATTTAACCACACATTTAACCAATAACATTGAAGAACTATTGTTATCAGTGTAATGTGACTGGCATTACTTAATCCAATCCACATTCGAAACAAGTCAGATTAGTCTTTAGCCTCTAGAGTCCTGAGCTTTGGTTTCATATGCATTTTAATTTTTTCCTATCTATTTGGGATTATTGGGACATGATAAGTATAAAATCCAAGTATGGTCTTTGAACAGGAAGTCATTTTTGAGAAAAATGATGTCCTCATATGGGGACATTGGGTTTATTTTAATGCGTAATACAATAAAATTACTGGTGTTTGAGACAGAACAAAACTATGCCAGAACATGGCTGTGCACACAATATTTGCAACACATTACAGAATAAACATAGCTGTGCAAAAACAAAATTTGCTAACAATATTTGCAACACATCACAGTACAAAACTATTCCAGAAAATGGCTGTGCACATATTTGCATCACATTAGAGAATAAATCTATGCCAGAACATAGCTGTGCAAAAACAAAATTTGCTAACAATATTTGCAACACATCACAGTACAAATCTATGCCAGAACATGACTGTGCACACAGTAATTGCAACACATTGCAGACTGATGACTACATGACTACATATTTCAAAAGTATGTTTTGTCTCAATTCATTTTGTGCAGAGAAATTTCATTTGTTTGTAGTCTGTAGAAACAGTATCACACCTATGGACCTTTGTGAAAAGCTGCAAAACAGTTACGTTCAGTTTGCAAACACAGGAACATGTTGCATGTCATACATCGGACACGTGATTTCCCTGAGCATCCTGTTTGTCTGCAACGCATTGGGTTTTTCAGGTTGACCATCTCTGGAAGATGTTTTGTAGAAGTTGTTCGGATTGAGACATGCGGTACTGGGGTGATCTGATGTCTGCTTCCTTGTTGCAAAGGGTGTGCATTCTCTTCTTGTGCATCTTCAACAGCAGTGCCACACTTGCTCAAGTATGCCTGAGCCACTGTCATGCGAAACTGAAGAAACTGCATCATGTCTCTTTTTGGTGTGCCACACAGAGTGTTGTCTTGGCGATATAATAGCCAGCTGTTGGCTAAAGCAAGATCAAGGAAGTGCATCAGCATTCGAATGGTCCACTTCTTGGTTCGGACACTCATTCGGTAGTAGCTCATCATCCTGTCTGTCAAGTCAACCCCGCCCATCTTGGTGTTGTACTCGCGCACAATACTTGGTCGCATGACAGACACATATTGCTTGTCTTTCTTGGACCATCGCTGGCACACATCTTCTGGCTGTTCAGCATGAACAGTGGAAAGCATCAAAACTGCTTTGTTGTCATACCACTTCACCACACAAACCTTGCCATCTCCTCTGGTAACTGAGGCTGAGGCACCTCGTCCTTGCTCTTTCATGTCTTGGTCACTTGGTAGCTTCTGCAGTGGTTCAGTGACCCGGTTCTTCATTATTGTACCAGTTAGGTACACCTGCTTCTCCAGCATTTGATCTACAGCTTTCATGGATGTGAAGAACCGATCACAGTATACCTTTGTGCCAGGGTGTAGAGTTTTAGCCAGACGTGCAATAACCAGTACTCCCAAACCAAGTTCCTCTGCATCCTGGATCTGTGATCTCAGTGAGTTTGCACCTTGGTAGACTTCAAAGTCCAGCACAATGCCACCTGCTGTAGCCAGCACAAAGTTTTTCATGCCAACTGGATTGGGCTTTAGTGGCACATACTGTCGAAATGGGCAAGCTCCTGTAAATGGGATCATCTGCTCATCAATTGATACACATTCTGGTCGAGCCTGAAGCAAGCAGCCTTTGAGGATGCGATCGATAAAGGGCCTGGTCTTCCAGAATTTGTCAGCTTTCCTCATGTCTTCAGAAATGTCACTATCAATGACTACTTTCAGATGTTTCCTCAGTTTGAAAAATCTGTCACGCTTGAGTTTGTCACTAATGGCAGGGATTCTCAAGGCACTGGACCAGAACATTCTAAGCTGTGGGTAAGACACACAAGACATGAAAATGGATGCTCCAAAAAATGATAAATCTCATCAACTGATGTGTTGAGAGAGCTACCACTGTTAGATAGAGACATAGCATTTGTGCAGTTAGCAATTAGATTCATCAACTCTCTATCAATGTACTGCTCCATATAGTCCAGTGGCTGCCAGTTATGTCTCTCATGCAGAGTTTCCTCTTCAGCCTCAAACTGCACTATGTCTGGAGTGAAGGCACTTGACTTCCAGCGCACTCTACTTGTATTCTTGCTAGATCCTGGCTCAACACTTCTACCACGCTTACGTTTACGTGCACATTCTGTGGATGGTGGTGGCTCACTGTCACTATCACTGCTCTGCTGATCAGATTCTGATAAATCAGGTGGAATATAATCTTTATCATGTAGTAGTTCCACACCAGGATCAGCTTCTTCACCATCAGACAGCTCCTCCACATCAGAGTTCTCTCCTACTATTGCATTCAGCAGTCTTTCTGCTTTTGACAAAGAAATGGACCCTAGACATGTATCGGATAACAATAAAAGAAATTTAATCAATGTAGACTAATGTGTACCACATGCAACAACTGTTTATATTTATATTTAGTGGAAACTGTTAGTTTTTTTTCACAAATCTTCCCAAGCCATGTGTCATTACTGGTCCCAATGTCCCCAAACGAGTACTTCATAGTTAGAAGCCTCCTAACTTGTTACTATTGCTAAAAGATGTCAAATTTATATACCATCTCAAACTACAGACATTAAAAAGCATAAATTAGCAGGTTTCAACCATGAAATGTTTTTAGGTTTTGTAACTTGTCCATTTTTATTTCGGGCTCGGCCGTAGAACATCTTGACTGAGATTGACGCCATCTTGGAATTATAGTAACACTTGTAATGTGCTTTTCCTACCACAAGATGATGGTAAAAGTGTCTACATACGAGGACAACAGGTCTAAGTTGAGAAGAAATAAAGTATATGGTGCAGGAAACCCAAAATGTGCGGTCCTCATATGAGGACGCAGGGACTCTAGAGGTTAAATCTAAAGGTTTTTCTTTGACAGTTTTACCAGTGTATTACAGTTCCCTCGGGTGTTACAATATTATAAATGTGGGAAAAAAGAGAACAAAGTATACAGAAAACTATTGGTGGTTAAATAAACCTGTTAGTGCTTAAATATTGTCCACTATTGATCACATTCCTCAGGTTGAATTTTCTTCTCCTCCATGGTTCTGCTTTGATGGAATACCTGCTCTCGGGCTATGCTGATCTCTACCACACTTGATTTAGGGTTTCTTTAGCACTGTGAGCACAATATTTATTTGCGCATTTGTGCAAAATCCACTTTCTCTTCCTTGGATGTGAAAATATGAAATTGTCACTTAAATGTGAAAGGAAATGCTCCTGAAATACTCACCTTGAACTCTGTCAATAGCAGAGAAAAATCTCTGCCTACCATACAAAGACTAATCTTCCCCAGCAGTTTTCACTGTCAAGTGTTTGATGCACACTGACTGTGACACAACACCAAATGGCTGAGCAGTTTTATTGCGTATAGAGCCAGGGAACAGGAAAGCAATCTTGACAGCACAGCTGTCTAATGGGGTCTGATATTGGTGTGCCAAATTTTGCTCTATAAAACTAAGCTATAAAGTAGTATACTCTTGAATCATGTGTGATTTTTTTCTGCTTTCTTTTGACCTTTTTACCACTGCCATGTCACGTATATTTGTCTTTGCAGAAACACTCCAAAGGACAGACCCTGATGGACATGGTGTGTGAGCACCTCAACTTGCTGGAGAAGGACTACTTTGGTCTGACCTTTGCCGACACAGACACCCAGAAGGTCAGTGAATTGTGTACCGCAGTAACCTAGTGGGACATTTCAGTGCATAAACACATTGCTCTCACAACAATCTGTATTCCTCTCACTTGTTGGCTGGGTCCACGCTCTCAGGGGTGTACTATTCATCATTCAGAGATGAATAGAAATGGAAATTTCCATCTACAGTCTTGGTCTGGGACAAGAGGCAATTGAAAAACTAGTGCAGTAAGAGAATAGATGAAAAAAATGCCTCATCAACTCTTCAAGATGCATTTATGAAATGTAGTTATAAAAATTTTTCTCAGAGGCAGAGCTTTTCTGGAGGTAGAAATAATCTCACTGGTTGAATCAAACCGCTGTGGACTGAAAATTTCCACTGTTTATCAGGAGAATTTGAACAGATATGACAAAAAGTTTGATCAGAATGACTTCAGTGACCCCTTTGAGTGTAAGCTAGCTTGCTAGCGTACCTTTGACACATATTGTAGGTGAGGTTTTCCTTTAAGGGCAGAGAGGCTAATTAGCTAACGTAGTGCCTCACTTTTACTATAATGCATTCAGTGTTTCCCTTATGAGTTTTATTTCTTTTTTTTTTTAGTTGTGGTGTTGTTTGGCATTAATAGGGTGAGCCATCCCTGGTAGGCTAGTGGTTAAGGTGCAGCGGCGAGAGCGCTGCACCCTGGGTTCGAATCAGGGTTGCGTCAGGAAGAGCATCCGGCGTAAAACACGTGTCAAATGTCAACATGTGAGTCATCAGTGTGACAGTTCACTGTGGCGACCCCTAAATGGGAAAAGCCAAAAGTGACTTTCTTAGGGTGCTGACATAATTGGCCTATCGTCCTGGCCGCAAAACACTGGACCAGCTCTATACTTTCTTCAGGGTGGTGGAGGGTTCATGGGAGTTTGCCCAACCGGTCTACATGTGGATTTGGAGAAGGCTTTTGACCGTGTCCCTCTGCAACACAGGCAGCACAGCACAGCACATGCAGCAAACACTTGTTTATGTGCTTGTGTGCAGTTTTGTAGTTTTTACATCTCCTAAAAATAGTGCTCCTACTGTATGCTGGCAGGTGGAATTGTAACAACTCAGCCAATATTAACAACAACATACAGTATGTCGCACAGGAAGCTTTATAGACTTTTGTTGTCATGAAAACACGTAGTTACATTTGCAAGCGTATGGGAACTCAGTTGTCAGTATAATTTGTTATAAGCTAGATTATGAGACTGTCACAGTTTCATTATACATCATTATATGTTTAGGCACACAAACTGCTTAGTTAGGTTTAGAAACCAAGTGAGATAGACATATTGCACTCTGGAATTGAACTCAACTCTTCTGAGAGTGAATCAAAATAGTAAAGCTGTGGGTTGTAAAACCAAAACATTGAGCTGAAAGGTGCTAAAATGCTATGCAGAGATAACTGTTGAGTTATGGGTTTTGTGTTTTTTCACTATGAATGATTTATTTAACATTAGTCATATTTTCAAATTTTTATATAAACATTAATTGGCACAGCTTTATAAACTTCAAAAGCAATGTGTTCTTAAAGAAATAATGTCCACAGATCTGACTTTGAACAGTATTGACAGTTCTGCACAAATTCTCAGAGACTTGTGTATTTCTAAACCAGAACTGTTTGGTTAGATATCACCACAGATAAATGAAATAGGTGGGAGAAAATGTCATTTTAAAAAACATTTATTAAATGATTGTTAACTATTATTGTATTAACATTCTACATTTTAACCTTTTATATGTTTCCCTGTACTGGACTTGGTCAGAAACACTGCAGCTCTTTTGTATGTCCTGTGAGGTTTAATTATTTCTGCCTTTGCTAAATGTGTGTGTGTGTGTGTGTGTATATATATATATACAGTATA